ATTAATTAAATAATATAAATTAATAATAAATTAATTATTATTAAATTATAATTTATAGTAATATAATTTTATAAAAACAATATATTAATATAAAAAAATAATATATTATTATAAAATATATTAATATAAAATTTAATAATAATTAAATTATACGTAATAATTAAAGTTTTTATTTCTGAATAATTAGAAATAATTATATTACGAGTATATTTAATAATACAAAAATTTTTCTTTCTAAATATAATTTAATTGATTAATAAAAACATTGCATTATTGTACATAAATATTAACAAACACTTATTAACGTCCATAAACTTCACTCTGGTTGATTTTTAAATTTTTACCAAACGCATATACAAGTCCATAGTCCACTTTAAGTGTTAAGACTACCTACCATTAATAATTTATCCTCTTATTTATTTATTTAATTAATTAATTATACATTGTAATATCAGATTTGTCTCGTATCAGTTGAAAATAATCCGACAGAATCGATGTGATAATTTTCTAATTAAATTAATCATCAGTCACATGACGTCAATTTTGTTATATCTCCCAAACAAAATCATTTTTATCTCGTATAATACTAGATAAATCTAAAAAAAATATCATTATTGATGATAAATCTTCAAAACAATATATTCTTTTTTTTTCATTTTTCTCGTAAACAAATTGTCGAGGAAAATTTTGTTTTATCAAAATTATCGAAAATACTTCAAATAAATCTACGGTTGATATAAATACGTTTTATTGATCGTTTGTTTATCTATTAATCAACTCATTTATCTATCTATCTATCTATTTATCTAACCATCTCACACTTCCTCTTATTTTTTTTTTTTTAATACAAATCGATAAACAAATTTTATATGAATCAAAATCTAATTGCAATTAAATGAAGGATACAAATAAAGTTTTATTATTTAGTGGTTATCCAGGTTTCTAAATTCTGCAAATTTTCGATAGATGGTTCTGTATTGCAATTCAATTATTTGAATATATTCACGTCGTAGGATTTTTTTTGTTCAAATTTGCATATGACATAACTAACCTTACTTTTTATATTTTTTTCTGTATTATTAATTTATATACTCCATTCTAACTGTTGTATTATTTTGTGTGTGCGTTGTTATAATTTACTATTTTGTTTAGAAATATATTAAATAAACATTTATTATTTAAAAATTATGTAGGGTCTTTTTAAGTACTATAAATTTGCAGTAAATGGCGCTGTATTACAATTCAATTATTTGGATATATTCACGTTGTAGGATTTTTTTCAGATTTACATACGACATAACCTTACTTTTCACATTTTTTCAAGTATTACTATTTTGTGTGTTATTATAGTTTACTAAATAATTAAGAATTACATTAAATGAACATTTTAACAAAACCACACAACAAAACATAACCTGAACATCTTAGTATACATATATATGATGAACCAAGTTGAAAGGGGGTTGAAGATAGGTGGTAAGCGGGGTGAAGAGATGGTTGGAATCAAAAACGATCGATGATCGTCGATTACAAAGTTGTTTATTCGCTAGGAAACAAAGGGAATTGCGAGAAGTTGAGACGATGTATCGCGTTTCTACGATATCGTTTACGATCTGTGTCACATGGTCGAGTTCATATATATATATATATATATACATATATAGATGTGTGTGCAACACACGCTTGGGCATAAAGGCTTGGGGATCCGGTTATAAATCAGTACGATAACGGCTGAGTCTATCGCTCTTATTACTCGCGATAAAAGCTTGCTTCCCTATCGGCAAATAAAAAAAAAAAAAAACTTTTATCTCGTTTTCCAATAACGCGAACAAACCCCCTTTCCCTTCCCCACTTCTTCTATTTCTCATTCTCGTCATCCTTCAACTCAAACGTTCGTTCGATGACCGATTAATCGAAACTTTTCATCGATATTATACTTTTTGTCATGTACTTCTTCTTTTGATCTCTTTTATCATATTTTTCATTTATTAATAACACACTGTGTTCTAAAAACATATTGGCTGATATTGTTTGTGTCCTGTTTGTTTAATATAATTAATAAAAATGTATTTGGGGTATAATATTAGGTCTATCGGAAAATTCTATCCGTTGAAACAAACATTAGTTCAATTTTTCGTCACTAGGGGTAAGGTCTCCATTTATTAAAATGGAATATACAAATTGTCACCATGTTGGAAAATAGTTCAAAAGTAATTAAATTAATTAAATAGACCTAATATTACAAATGACGTGTCCAATATGTTGAAGAAAACTTGAGCTTAATTGTAATAACGTCTATATACGTCTTACTTCGATATGTAATATTAAAAACAACAAATAACTGAACAGTAATCTAATCATAAAAAGAAAAGAATGAAAAACTTTTCCATACGGAGTAATGGATGATTTCTACGAAATCAGTTTTATAACGAGATACCACTAAATGCTAGAATATCCATCAATTTCCCCCCACTCTTTCTACATTAAAGAAGTCTATAAAAATTCCTTGATATTTGAATCGTTGGATCGTGTCACGAGCAGCATATTTTAACCGTCATATACCATATATAGTATTGCGATTACGAACAACACTCGAGGACTTTACTCGAATGACTCAGTCAACTCAACTCAACACACAACTGGTCTGGGAAATATAATCGATGCCCCACAGTCTTGTTTCTTTTTTTAGCTTCTCCTCTTTCCCCTCTCCTGCCCATTTATATCATCATCACACTCCTCTTAATATTTCGCAACGCAAATTCATAAAAAAAATTCGATCAAAAGGAACAAAGAAAGAAATTAATAAACCCAATTGATGATAAGTTGTGTGAGGCATTTCATTTATCAAACCGGAAGCTTCCATTCCCGCGCAAAAGAGAGAGAGAGAGAGAGAGAGAGAGACCTAACCTCTTAATGAATACGAAAAAGCAAGCAACAATATTATCGATCCACACGATGAGAAGAAGAAAATGATGATCGTAGAAAAGAAAAGAAAAAAAAATGGGGCCGACGTTGAAGAAGAAAAAAGAAAAAGAAATGTTAATTAAAGTGAGAAATATTTTTCTATGTAATCGACTAGACACATCTTCTTCCGGTTCGTTCGGCAGCATTAACGAGCACCTTATATAGGTGCTGTTCTTTTCCTTCTTTGTGTGTTTCAACTCTTTTCAACGAGAGTTCAGTTATTTTTTTTTTTTTTCTTTTTTTATCGTCTGCAGTTGTATGCACGTTTAAAGAAGTTCGTATATTTACTCGTATTCTACGACAACACGATGATGATGAACGATGACGTGTTAGTGAGGTAAACAAAACGTGGGTTGACACTTTACTCGCACTTCGATTAGCATAATAAAACACCTTACTCGAGGTTATAATTAGATTTGCGCATTTCAAGCGAGCACATTTTCGAGAATCCTTTAACTTATCCCTAATGCTGTTGTATTATCTCACGAAGCTGCTTTTGCTTCGAACTTACATTAGACGCAATTAGTTTTTCTTATGATGTAGAAAATTTGTCATCGACCTTGAATGTGATATTTTACAAATTAGCAAGTCGTTTCTAACGTTCGTGAACGTTTCAAATAATAGTTGCGTACCTTTTTCGGTACGTTAACCCGTTTGAATTCCAAAGTAGCCAGAGGTAGTCCTTGAATTCGTGCTAGGCTAGTTTGCATAATCTTTTCTTACCGAGAAACACGATAACTGTGCTGCGTGAGATGAGTATTTGTATTGGAGTTCTAAAAAAAAAATTAAGTAAAACTGGTTTTGCATGTAGAAAGGAACAAACGAATCAAAGAACTTAACAATGACACGCATAATTCTATGGAAATTCAGATACTTCCACTACACTAACATAAGTTGTGTAACGTGAGAGAAGTTGAATCGATCAATGTTACACAGCAATAGAGTATTGTGAATAGGAATCATAAAGAACGAATCGTTTGATGTGTTATTCGCATAGTAAATCGCTTAGGTCAATAAAGATGAAAGTGATTGGCAGTATTGATTGAAGTAGGTGTCTTATATTCCGCAGAGAAACATGCAGTCGGCCTCGATGGCGTGGAACACTTTTATACCTCTCCCACCACACGGAAGTAGAAGCCATGGTGGCCCGCATTCGGGTATGGCAGCGCACGGTGGTCACCATCATCCTGGAGGCCCTGGTTCAACTGCTGCGCATCCTGTTACGGTGGCTCAGCAACAGCAACGTGAACGCGAAGAACGTGAAGCTAGAGAACGAGAACGGGAAAGGGAACAACGAGACCGAGAACGAGATGTGAGAGAAAGGGAACGGGAAAGGGAGCATCTGGTAGTTGCTGAAAGATTACAAAGGCAAGCTGAAGCTAGAGATCACGTGGCTGCTCAACAAAGGGCGGCTTATTACGCTGCTACAGCACCAGCGACTCAACAGGTACACTTCAATAATATCTCGTTTTATACTTTATACGATTTCGTCTATATTCATGGATATATTAAAAATGTTTTTCTCTTCTTTTTTTTTAGGTATCCCGACCGTCGAGCGTACCTGTAAAAGTCGATTACCCACCACCACCAGCACATTCTAGGACATCTAAGTCATCGTTGCCGGTTGGTAGTCTTCACGAAAAAGCACCGTCAGTGGTGGGTCCGTCGCACAGTTCGCTTCCAAAAGCTGAACCGAATGTTAATCTGTTCAGTTATTCCACGTACCAGGCGCAATCGTCGTATATGCATGATATCAAAGTAAAGAGCGATCAACTTGGACAATCTTCTCATAAAACGTTAACGAGCAAAAGTGGTTTAGCTGGTGGTCTCGAAAGAGATCATCATGGTAGGGAGGTATTACAAAATCCACCTTCTTTGCTATCCGATCACAAGAGTTCCGTTATTGTGAAAAACGAAGGCAGAGAATTACCTAAGGGTCCACCACCTCAACAACACTCACCGAGTCCGAAAATGATGCCGTACATGAACGTTCAATCGGTAGCGCCGCAACACAAGCAGGCTGCCTACGAATATAGGAGTCCAACTCAAAGCCCTCATCACCTTCATCACCTGGACAGTTTGCAAGGGGCAAAAAGCATACCGCAAAGTCATCACAGAAGTGGGAGCAGCGGTGGAGGTTCTACAACAGCGTCCCAACTACCAAGCTCTCACGGTCATCCACCACCACACTCGCACAATCGACAGTCGCCTCATACTCAGCATCCTCATCAGCCACCACATCCATCACCCCCAGAAACGCGTTATCTGAACAGGTCTGAGCCTGGGCTACCCTATGCTACAGCTAAATCAACGTATGCTTATCCACATCCACACCCACCTACAGCTTCACAAACTTCACATTATGCCGCACCTCCGGCTGTCTCGAAACCAAAAGTCAGCAGTCCGGCGCCACCACATATATACGGCAAGCCAAATTCCGGTATAATGACCGGTACGCCAGTTTGCAGGGCTTCCGAGCCCGCAGTCGCAGCACCGATACCTTTAACGTCGAAAGCCGGTAGCTCGCCTTACCAGCAAGTGCCTCATCATCATGGAGCGCCGCCACCTCCTTTACCTCCACCAGCCCATAGTAGCAGATCCGTATACGATAACAGGGGTTTCGCTGGCTCGATGCCAGCCGCAAAACTACCACCTCCACCTCTACACGGATCACCACCTACGGCTGCTTCGGCACCGCTTTCGAGGCCGATTGTTCATCCTGCTCATCACGGTAGTCCACACCAACAACCCGGTCAAACGTTGCAACACGCTCAACCTCAAATTGCTGCTTCAAATTTCCAAACTCAACCTCTTGATCTCGGAGTTGAAAGATCCGGCTCACCTAAGAGAAAAGCACCAACGCCACTTTCCTGCGATAACGTTAGTGGTCAGCCGGTTTCCTTAGAGGTCTGTAAGAAACGACGAACGGAAGAACCACAACCATTGTCCCTACAATGCGTCGGCTCACCCGTTTTGTCTAGGGTGAGCGAACCTAGTCCTCTCATCGCTTCGGCCGCAACTTCTATCACTACTGTCGTCAATACCGCGGCTTTATTGTCGCAACCTACGAGCGACTCTCAGCCTTCTCAAGAACGTACCGTTGCTGCTGAAAGTCCAGCACCGAGGACAGCCAGTGGCGATGGTTCAGTTAGACCAGCCAGTACCGGCAGTGTTAGCTCTTTTAATCCTACCAATGTTAGTGCTGCACCAAGTCCAGCACCTATACCAAGTCCAGCCCCATCAATGGCGCCCAGTCCAGCACCAAGTGCTCCTGGTACACCTGCCAAAACTAATCCTACAACAAACGATAACGAAAAATCCGAAAGTCCAGCACCAAGACAACCTAGCAGTACTAGCTATCCCGTTCATAAATTAAAAAAGGCATGGCTTCAAAGGCATTCAGGCGAAGATGGTACCGAGGATACCACAGGCATGGTGGGAAGTGGTTCCTGTGTTACCTTACCTCTCAACATTTCTCAAGCACCATCCCAACCTCTCAATAACAAAGAACGCGAACCAAGCTCGAATTCGAGTAACACGACAACAACTACAACCTGTTTACCCAGCGCCGTTAATTCCATTTACAATATCGGTAGTATGGCAGTGAACAGCATCAACAAGAGTAAAGTCACTGCAAAAGGAAGTCGTAAGACAACGAATAAGGAACCTCTTAACGGTCATGCAACTGACGCAAAAAACCTTCAAGAAGATTCATCCAGCAGCGACGCTGAACGAAAGTCGCCGCCTAAGAGAAAAACAACCAAGGTATCTATCATCTTCATATTGTTCTTCTTATTAGTTTGCTTGTTTATTTATTTTGTTTTTTTTTCTTTTTGAATGATTGTTGATAAAATATATTAATAATATTTGCCAGATATTATTTAGAAAATGCATAATTAGATAACATTTTATTATTTATCATAAGCATGGAATAGTTGTCATATTTTTTAAATATTTGTTCAACATTTAATTTATGATTTAATAAATGAAAATAAACAATTATAATATTTCATAAGAAATAAATGAAAGATCCGTGTTTAAAAATAAACAAATTTCAATAATCGAAACGTAAAGTCGAAATATTTCAATATATATATTTGTTTGTATTTTGTAGAGATAGAAAGAACGGCGGCAGTACTTAAATTTGAATTAACCGCCATTGAGCGCGCCACTACCATGAGCGCCGCCATTTTCTTATAAAACTCAGTGGACTACGTGATTTCTGAGCAGTTCTATAGCTGTTGTTGATTTTTCTCATTTATAAAGATAATATCATTAAAGTAACATTTAATTGTTGTTAATTGTTGTTAATTGAACGTGATATCAAAGTTTCTATAGAAATAAATATGGTAATACATTTAAATTATAGTAAATTATAACAATGCGTCTGTAGCCACTTTACTTAACCTCTATCGCGGAACGTGAATAATTCTACGGTATATTTACTTCGTATTTCTTCAATATAATATTAAAAGATGTTTATTATTCATATTTATTATCTATATTTATATTTTCAATAAAAATTTGTTGATTTTTTGAACTTTTTTGACAAAAATTTATATACTTTGGGTTGGTCTATACATGGTATACGTTTGTATGAATATGTATATGTGGTATATTTGTATTTGTGTGTTTATATTATATGTATATAGATTTACGTTATATTTCTTTTGAATGTATATTATTTGTGTTTCTTAGATTATGTACATAATTTTATTTATTTATTTTTTTTTTTAATTAAATATTATTTATATTTAGTAGCTTTATGTTAAATAGCAGGTACGAAAGCATGAACTTCCTGACTACTTAATAATCTGTGCCCTGTGGTAGGTAAAACGAAAGAAGGGAGCTGCACGGAGGCAACAAACTGCCGCAGAAGATCAGCGGAGACACAAAGAAGAGAAACAAAACGTTGGGGCTGGAGCAGGAAGTGATTCTAGCCCTGAAAGCGATGCTGGATCTGGTAGCGATAGCGAACAATTGGGCTCGGTTCAACCAACTCCGAGAGCGCGACATACCACGGCCAATTCCAACAATTCCTCTGGAAACGGTTAGTTGACGTAGCTTGTTGTAAATGGACTTCCCATCAGGTGAACTAACTATTCACTTGCAGGGTAAGTGATACGCGTTTCATGATCATACATTTATTCCTTTCTTTAAAAGCTGTATGGGAAGTCAATGATAAGAAGCTAATTAATTTGATATTTTTGGTAATTTTATTCACTTAACGTAGTTTATGTTTTTTCTTTTGTTATTATTAAACTTTAACTGTTATTCTCTATACATGATGATAATAATAAAAAGTTGATATAACCGTGATAAATATATACACAAAGAGCTTTTTAACCCTGATATTAGTTATATATATATATATAATGAAATATTTCATAGATATTGTATTATTATTATTAAATATGTTACTCTCATTTGTTTGCATAGAAAATAATAATAAACTCAGGAAAAGAGGGAGAAGACCAAAGACTACTAAAGGTAACAACGATACAGGAGGTGAAGATCAACAACCACGTCAAAAAAAAGAACGTAGAGATGATAGCACAAGTGGCGGTAACAATGGGCCAGGTGGAAGTGGTGGTCCCATAAGAAGACCAGCCGTGTCACAGTTAAAGAAGACGGGTCAGAGTTGGTTGCAAGATGACATTTGTTTCTACGCCGCACCTAAATTAGCCAAGTGTCGTGAATGTCGACACGCCATTACTAACGGACTTAAAAATCTTCCTCAAAATGTCTTCTGTAGATTCTTCGCATTTCGCAGATTACGATATACAAAAAATGGACAATTGGCTATCGCTGGATTCAGCGATCCGCACAAAGATACTTCCGAGGTAAATTTCATTTTCAATTATTCGTTTATTGAATTATTTTTATAAACGCGCACCGTCAGAAAATTTGATTCATCATCCTTCTGCAGGAGTGTGATTGATAACGGATACCACTGTGCTGTTGCAGGAAGATCTACGCTTATGGTTGCCGGGAAAAGATAATCAGGACTCGGGCAATAATAAAGATGATAAATCAGAAAAAAACAACGATAAAGATAAATTAGATAAAGTTATCAAAGGAGATCTAGACTTAGAGACAGCACACAGACTTCTTCGACAAGTTGGAGATCAATTTTGTGATCTTTTACATCAAGAAAAGGATGCACTTCAAGAACATATGGCTGAAGGTTAATATTTATATACATATTATTTAATATTTCATTTCATTTCATCTCGATGTTATCAAACACTATTATGCATACATGATGAAAAAAACAAAAAGTTGAATAACCATGATAAACATTACACAAAGAGCTTTTTAACCCTGATAGTATGCATTATTATTTTAATATTATTATTCATTTAAAAAAGAAACAAATATATCTTACAACAATTATATTTGCATGATATCATCATTAATGTTATCTTTTAAGTATTATATTATGTTAAATTTTGTTTATTTATTTCACAATTGTATGAATTTTTGGCTGAGTTATAATTAATTTTAATTTGTTCGCATGTATACACGCTTTATGTATTCGTTGTTTATGTTACTCTTCATAGTGAGTGCGGGAATTACAGACGGAACAGTAGCATGGAAGAGAGTTCTACCAGGAGTAAGAGAATTATGCGACGTATGTGAAACAACACTTTTCAATTACCATTGGGCTTGCAGGAAATGTGGATTTGTTGTATGCATCGATTGTTATAAGGTAAGAAAAACTTGAATAAATGTACATTTTAACAAACAAACTAAAAATCAATGAAATAATTGAAAACAATACTCTTTTTAGGGACGTAAAAATGGAACAATTAAAATATGGGGTGAAAGTGGCAAAGACAGGGATGATTTTTCATGGTTATTGTGTACAAACAGACAAGCTCACGAACCAGAAAGACTTATGCTGACGCAAATAATAGCTGGAGATAGTTTGATAAGACTTGGACAACGTCTTCATGAGTGTAGATCAGAATGGGGAATCCCTCAACATTGTGGTTGTTCTTTTGTTGCACCTGGTCAACCAAACGAAAGTTTAAGAAATTTAATTAAAGGAGAAACCGTTCCTGTTCTTAATGGTAACATTAAGCAAGAACCGAAAGAAGAAAAGAAGGTAACTGAATCTAATGGTGCATCGGAGAACAAAGTTAACGGGGAAGATAAAAATTCACCTTTGAATTGGTTGGCGGATGTGGCATTACAAAACCAAGATAAAAACGAAAGCGGTTCAAGTTCAGATTCGGATGAAGATCGTGACGGTAATTATTCTACATTGAGAGAACTGTTAATAAGGCCATCCCACAAATCCAATGGTAATGGATCCAGATCTAATTCACCTACTAATAACACTAGTAATACCAATTCAGCATCCGGCACAAACACTCATAATAATATGACTAAATCTGGTAAGAAATCTAAAATGGATACACTTGACGAAGTAATAACCAGTGTTATTGAACATACGGTAACTAAAGAAAGAGAAAGCGGATTGGATGACGACGAGAAACCGAGAGAATTGAAACACTTTGTACGTAGATATAAATGGACTCAAAGGGGTAGAGAACCATTACCAATAAGAATCATGACGTTAACCGAAAGTAAAAGTTTATATCCAGATGTACCACATTCCTGGCTGTGTGACGGTAAATTATTAAGGTTAAACGATCCAAACAATCCAAACAATTATAGAATTTTCCAAGACCAATGGAAACGTGGACAGCCGGTTATAGTATCAGACGTAGCTAAATCTCTGGACATGGATCTTTGGCATCCCGATTCGTTTGCCAGAGATTTTGGGGATAAGAAAAATGATCTTATCAATTGTATGACTGGTAACTTGGTACCAAATCAACCAATGAGAAAATTCTGGGAAGGTTTTGAACACTTTTCCAAACGACTTAAAGACGAGAGGGGAAATCATATGTTATTGAAATTGAAAGACTGGCCGCCTGGCGATGATTTTGCTGAATTATTGTCGACGCGTTTTATTGATTTAATGAAAGCATTACCGTTGTTGGAATACACCCATCGACATGGTAGATTGAATTTAGCGAGTCATTTACCTGATTGTTTTGTAAGACCAGATTTAGGTCCTAAAATGTATAACGCATATGGTTCCGCGCTATATCCTAACAAAGGTACTACCAATTTACATTTGGACATTTCCGATGCAGTTAACGTGATGGTATATGTTGGTATTCCTAAGGATGCTGATAATGATGAACACGTCAAAGGTAAATTTAAATGTTAAATGTTTTACATTCAATTCTTATATGTACATTTTATAATAATGTTAACGTTTATAAATTACAGAGGCATTAAGAGCTATTGACGAAGCAGGCTGTGATATTCTGACGCGTCGTCGTGTTCGTGAACGCGGTGAAGCACCAGGAGCATTGTGGCATATTTATGCAGCTCGCGATGCTGACAAAATACGTGACTTATTAAATGCGGTAGCATTGGAACGTGGTGCACGATTAGAACCACATCATGATCCTATACACGATCAAAGTTATTACTTGGATGGTCCACTACGGGAACGATTGTATCGCGAATACGGTGTCGAAGGGTAAGCTTATTTAATCCTTTCAACAACTATTGGGTTGGCAATTAAGTCATTGCTAATTGTAAAAGGCCATCTATCAACAAAATCATTTACTTACCAACCCAATAGTTACAATTACAATTTTCAATGAATGTTGAATGATTGAAATATATTTGTATTTATATAATAATTACAGATACGCAATTGTACAATGTCTTGGAGATGCCGTTTTCGTGCCAGCTGGTGCACCACATCAAGTTAGAAATTTACACAACTGTATCAAAGTGGCAGAAGATTTTGTATCACCTGAGAACGTGTCACATTGTTTCCATTTAACACAAGAATTTCGTGAATTATCCGATTCTCATACCAATCATGAAGATAAGTTACAAATTAAAAACATTATATATCACGCGGTTAAAGATTCTTTAACGGTGTTAGCTAATGCTAAAGAAGAGACCATTGCCAAAACTAAAACTGGAAATGAAACGAAGATTAAAGAAGAAACGTAGCCATAGGCCCCTCGTCATGATCTTTTTTAAAGATCCATGAAATTTGAAAATCATTGTCTTTTAATATATATATATATATATATTCATTACAAAACACAAATATAAATTCGCGTTTTTATATACGCGATTTTAGAAGTTACATATAATGCTTCGTCATTTTTCTAGAAGCAAGCAAGGAAATAATAAAAACAAGAACGAATATGAAAATGTGTTGCGTTGTGTGTGTGTGTGAGAGAGAGTGAGAGAGTGAAAATGAGAGAAAGAGAAAGAAAGAGAGTAAGGTTTTTTTTTTTATTTCTTTTAATGCTCAACACATTTTAAGAAAACAATTAGAACAACAAACAAAGATAGAGAAAGAGAAGATTATCGGGAATAATGAACTCCGAAATGAATAAATAATTAATTAATTAAATAAATGGATAAATAAATAGATAGTTAGGGGAGGGGAAAGGGAGTGATGTAAGAAAAGAATTTGTTGTGATATTTGAAGGTATAAAACTCGCGTTTAATTTTTCTAGAGAGAAGAAACATTGGCTGAGCCAATAAAACACTGAAGGTTTATTCTCGTTATTAAATAATTTCGTTTGACACTTCCATTTTTTCTTTAATTCTTCTTCTTCTTCTTCTTCTTCTTCTTCATCTTTTTCTTATTCTAGTTCTATTACTCTATTTCTTCTTTAACGTTTTTGTAATTATTATTTTTTATTATTATTATTCCTATTACACTTATAACTTTTCTCTTTTTTTTTTTTTTTTTCGAAGAAAAAACACTCTCCTATGAAAAATGAACAATGAAGTCAATCATAAGAGGTTTTTTTTTTCCATTGTGTAAGATTTTTTTTTTTTTTTATATAAATAAAAATAATAAATGTCAGATCTCGGGATCGAAAATATTAAAAACCGTAAAAATAATAATAATAATAATAATAAAATAGCCCTATCCGGTCTCCGCGGATTTTAAGATTGTGATACCAACAGGACTTTGGATATCATACCGTTATTTGTAATTAATAATTATCGTGCCTGTATATATATATATTCAATACAGACTAAACAATGTCTCTATGTCATATATAAATGTAGATAATCGGTTATCGTATCTATTAAGAATCCTAAAAATAAATAGAATCTTTAATGAGATTTTGTCTAGAATTTAGAATTATTATTAATAAGGAATGATTTAAGATAATGAATGATTATAAAGATATCTGATAATAATCATTAATAATAATGATGATGATGATGATGATGATGATGATGCTTATGATGAATATGATAATAATAGATACCTTTGTGCAATTAATTTGATTGATTAAATTGTTAGAAGACTCTCGTTGCTGAGATTAAAACATTTGAGTTTCATTATCGTGTGCTCCCATCTTAATTCGGTGCTTTCGGTAGTGAATAATAATAATAATAATAATAATATAAGAATAATAATAAATAAATAATTAAATAAATAATAATAATAATGATAATGATAATGATAATCTTTTCAAACTCGAGGAGAGTTCATTTGATCATATTTTTCTCGCTTCTCTGTATTGTGCTCCACATATATATAAAAATAAACAAAATTATATATACATACATATGTATGTGTATATATGAGAGGAACATGATAATAAAATACTGCCTAATTGATTAAACAAAAGAATAAAAAAAAAAACAACTACATAAAATGCATGTAAGTGTAAAATAGAGAAATGAAGAAGAAATTTGTTTGCGTCTATCATCCTCTGCATATTTTGTCTTATTGTGTGTATGATGTGTGTTGTGTATCTGTGTGTTTGTTTTATTGTACGTGGTTGACGTGTTTACATCGTGTTGTTTGTACCTGTTTATCAACAAACTTAATTTGTCGACTATAAACAACAATAGATGCATACATGCATACATACATGCATACACAACATACTTTAAAACGTGAAAGTAATAATCGTCGTTGAGAAGGGGGTGGATAGGAAAGGATAGATAACCTCAAAAATAACTAATACTTTTGATGATGATGATTATTATTATTATTCGCTTATTCGAACATCTAAATAAAATAAAAAAAGATTTAGAAACAAACAAAAAACGATAGACAAGAGTAATAAAAGTATACAATATTGGATTGGTAGATTGATAATGATTGTAGATTTTGTCGCTAGGTGGCTTTTTGAACTCAGCAATTGACTTAATGGCCCAATCCAATAATTGCATATTTGTATTATCAAAATTTGAATGGATTAACTTTGTTTTGTGATCATACAAATTTCAAGAATACTAAAACAAACAAAAAACATTAGCAAAAAGAGATTTTTTATTTTTTATCAAATTACTACTCGGTACCATTGTCTATTCGATAAAATATTAAAACAAAACTTGTAAAATAAAATAAAGAAAGAACAAAAAAAAGAAATAAGCAGTTAACGATAATGTAATTAAATATCATAAATAATGTTGTAATATTATTTGAAAAAAAAAAAAAAGTAGAGACAAGAAAAGAAAAGAAAACAAAAAATGAAATGAAATGAAATGAAATACGAAAGAACCAAAAAAAAAAAAATGTAATAACTTTCAAAGTGCCAATGTTGAACAATGATGATGATGATGATGAAGATGAAGATGAAGATGAAGATGAAGGATGATGATGTGAATATGGACATCCAATTTAAAACAAATGTGTGTGCGTATTACGCATAAATTGTTTAATCTCATATGCGTAGGTGTTTGCAGAGAATTTAAAAAAAAAAAAAAAGAACAACAACACAACAGGAAAAGGAAACAAACAAATGATTAAATTAAACAAAGAACAACTGAGAAAACAGATAAACAGGGTAGAGGAAAAAGGGGGGAATATCCTATCACTGTGAAAAAAAAAATAAAAGAAATCACACAATTTTGCGTCAAACAAATCACTATAAAAATACCAACATAACACAACACAACAACAACACACTAACAAATTGTCGTCGTCGCGTTAATAATACAGCGGGGCTAAGAAGTTTACGGTAATTTATACACGTAAACTGTAAAAAAAAAAAAAAAAAAAACAATTAAATTTCCGTCTTTTAATCGTTAAAAATAGAAAACTAAAAGAAAACTAAAACAAAATTCCTTGTATAATCCGAGCGTAATGATTATTATGATGATGATGATAATAATAATAATAATAAGAACAATTGAGACTCCATTTTGAACTTCTTCAAGAAGAAAAAAAAAAGAAAAAAAAAAAGGAAGAAACGCCATTGTATATTTATAGATGTTTTTAAAAAAATAATAATAATAATAATAAAATATCGCGCGACTAACCAAACAAAACAAAAAACAAATCTTTTATCGCGGGTCGCAATTTATTACAAAAAAAAAAAAAGAAAAGAAAAAAGAAATAAATTAATAAATAAGCAAATGATAAATAAAATAAAATAAAATAAAATAAATGAAAAAAATAAAAAATTATAAAAAATACTTCTGACAAAAGTCACACAGAGTTTTTGTTTTCTTTTATTGTTTTTTATTTTTTATTTTTTTTTTTCATTATTTTTGAAAAAAAAAAGATGATCAAATGAGTGATTAAATTAATTGATTAACGGACTTAATAAAAATGAAAAGAGGGAAAAGTGAAGTAGAAAAAATAATGATAAATAAAAATAATTACAACAAACAAATAAAATAAAATAACAAAAAGGGTGAAGAAAAAGAAAAAGAAGAAGAAGAAGAATAATAATAATAAAGTTAAAGCAGAGTAAAAATCTTTGAAAAATTCGCAATTTCTTTGATCTCAACACTTTTTCTAGCATACAACGACTCGATATAATAATAATAATAATATTTAATGAATAAATCTTAAATATCGTAGTATTACTAAGTGCGTTAATATTATGAGAAATGATAAAATGTATCAAACAAACAAACAACAGCAACAAATTACACTTTTATCGATTACAATTTAGAAAAAAAGAACATTGTATAAAGTAAAAAAAGACGTATTAGGTATATTATTGCTAAAAGCAAAGCTATTATTATTATTATTATTATTATTATTATTATTATTATTATTATTATTTTCTGTTCTGTTCATTTTTTTTTTAATTATTATTAATATTATTACACATAATTAATTAATTATTGTTTAGACTGGCCAATAAATTAATGCAGTTTGTGCCGTTTACTTTACTTAGAATTAAAAAAAAAAAAACTGCTCATATTTATTGGCCAACCTAACACCTATTAATATTGTAATTATTAATATTATTATTATTATTATATTATTATTATTATTATTATTATTATTATTATTATTATTATTATTATTAATATTATTATTTGTTCTATTGCTACGTGTAAATATACATTTATACATACATATATGTATACTTATACATATATAAATACGAAATTCAATATAAAAAATAAAAAAATTGATAAACTTTAGGATTAAGTTGAAGAAGGATGAAGAGGATGAAAAAAAAAAAAACAACGCTAACACGTAAAAAGAAAATAAAAAGATTGATGAGAAGAGAAGAGAAGAGAAAGAAAGAAGATTAAAATGAAAAAAAAAAAAAAGTAAAAAAAGTAAATATTACATTCAATGCGTCTAGGTAGATAGTCCATTATACCATTTATTATTATTATTATTATAATTATTACCAATTACTACGATTAAATATTATTATAAAATACACGAAGAAAAATACGATATCTAAATGTTGCTAAATATATCGCGGCCGAGCACGATTATATGAGAATGAGAGTGAGCGTGAGAGAGAAAATGTGAGCGTAATATTATTAATAATTAAAAAAAAAAATGTTGATTATTTTCATTATTATCTTAGTATTGTTTATTTTACAGTAATGCTACTTTTAAAAACTATTAAAAAAAAAAAAAAAATAATAAAAATAACAAAAAAAGAAGAGAGGAAGAAGAAGAAGAAGACAGAAGAGAAAAAAAAACAGCAAGTAAATAAAAGTCGAATGCACTTGTATATGTGTGTGCGAAAAAATAAAAACCCTTAGGGATTACGTATGTTGTGTGTGTGATTGGTGTGCGTGTGTAATACGTGTGTTTGCTGCTGTACGATGATGGATAGGATATACCTGTGTCTCTTATGAGATCGTAAAAAAAAAAAAAAATAAAATAGTGGAAGCCGGAGAAGAAGAAAGCACGAAAAATAATGAAAAAAAAAAAAATTACAAAAAGTAAAAAAAACAAACAAACACAATGGGGCAGCGTTTGGGGGCGGAATTATTATTAACGGAATGGATGAATTTAAATGTACAGCTCTTTAAAGAAAAAAAAAAAAACAAATAACCCGAATAAGGGATAAAAGATGAGGAAGAAAAAAAAAGAGAAAAAAAAGATATCCTAAAAAGTAAAAATCCACCCCCAGAGTCCCGTACCACCCCACCACCGGCCGCCCCTCAGTCATAGCAAGTTATGAACCGCGGGCCGGCAGGTCTGAGTATAATTTTTTGTACTGTGTAAATGTAAGAACATAAGTTTGAATAAGAAAAATGTTTATATTATGAAACACCTTGTCTATTTAATTGTTATACTATTATTTTTTCATTTGTTTTGATAATCTTTTTATATATTAAGAATTGTACAATTATTGTGTACTAAGGAACACTACTGTGCATCAAATATGAAATAGTATATGGATGTTTAATATTTCAGTTCAATTAGATTTCATAGTATTATTAATTATTATTTTATCATATTAATTATAGTATTATTATTAATTCATTTGTTTTATGATTAGTATAATTATTTTTTTATTATATTATTACTAGTGCATCCATGATACGTGTTGAATACACCTAATATGGAATTTAATTTATATTATATATATAGTACAATATATATACAAAATAATATATGCACAAATTATATATATATTAATAGTATTTAAATAATATTTTTTGTATAACATATATATATAATATATATTTTTTTGTACGATTTTATTGACCGATATGTCGGTAAGTGTGTTTCACAATAGTTGACGTAGTACTTTCCAGATGACACCACCGATTTCAAAATTCCAATATGGCCGAAAGTTTTATATCAAAGTTTAAATGTCACAATTTATTGGAACAAATCATTATAAAATAAGATATTTTTAATTGTGTTTCTTACATTTAACCTCATAATTGTTTAATTCTGACATAATAAAAACTACGCGTAACGGTAATGATTAAAAACATCTTTAATATTAGAATTTGTCAAAGTGAGTCAATCATTTCCAATTGAAAAATTTTGCTGAACAATTTACATATATATATACCCTTAATTATAAACAAAAGAAAAATTATTATATACTAGATATTTCCTATTCTAGATAATATATCTAAAAACATATTGTTACAAAAAATGAATATCATAACCCAAACAAAACCAATAGAATCATCGATAAGGAAGAAACTGAAAGAATCATTAAACCCATATTTCATTGATGTCATTAATGAATCTTACATGCACAATGTACCTAAAGGTTCAGAAACACATTTTAAAGTAGTTGTAGTATCCGAACAGTTCAACGACAAACCTTTACTTAAGGTAAGAATACAATGTTAATATCTTGCACTGTGATTTAACACAATGAACTGTGTGCCATATTTCTTACTTTTTACATTGAGCTTATAAGATTTACAAAATACAGAATTTCCTGTAATTAGTGATACAAGCAAACAGTAAGAAAAAGAAAAAGAGACAAAGCTAAGAACAAATTGTATTTTACATTTTCAACTAAGTTTTTCATGTATTCAATCACTTATGTTTGTTTGTACCACCAGTTACAAAATATCCTTTATACTTGAATAAAATTACTATACTTAGGTCAACGATATGAATAATAATATATATGAGAGTATAATTTTGATATTATTCAATAAATTTATTCTTATTATAAATCATTATTAATATTAGACCATATTTAATTTGATTTAGCGTCACCGTATGATACATGATTTATTAAAACCTGAATTACAACATGATGTACACGCTCTTTCCATCGTAGTAAGTTTTCATTATTTATATAATATACTTTTAAAATGTTGCAATATGATTGATTGATTGATTTCATTTTAAATTATTAAAAAAAAATTTTGATTTAAATAAAAAAAAAAAAAAGGCTAAGACACCCGAACAATGGGAAGAAAGTGACAAAACGTTAACGTCCAGTCCTGCATGCAGAGGAGGTTTTGGAAAGTAATGAATTATATTGTATATATATTAGTACGTAAAAAGATTGTATATAATATTTCATAAGATAATTGAAATATATCCTATCGAATAAAATTCAATAAAATAATTTAATATATATTTTTTAAGAACAGATCATATTTAAAAAAAAAAAAAAGCAAACAAACAAATAAAATGTATTATTAATGTCACAAGGAAAATGTATCTAATCTTAATCTTCCTTCATTTTCGGTAAGATAAAGTATATCAGCCATAGATTGTTCAGCAATAGCTTCTTCTGCTTTATCATGCATCTGTAAATAACATTTTATGATTAATAATATTAATATAATTATTATTAATATATATACTATATTAATTCTATTATAACTTATTTATATATTTATAACTATAATATTATACTATATATATATATATATATATATAAGTTATAATAGTATAATATAAGTATAATAATATATATTAATTTAGAGAGAGTTTAGTATAATAATATATATTAATACTTACACCACGAAAAGTGGTATCAGTAGGTGGACATTTAAAATTAGGTCCAAAATTAACTGAAACTGTTGCACTTTTATGTATTGAAACTGTTGGATAATATGCACCTCTGTTAATATTTATAAAAGCTTCTCCTTGATTAATACCATTTTTGTAATAGACAATTTTACTTCCTGATAAAGATTTCAAAGCTTTTAATGCTTCTGGTACTTGATCTTTCTCCTCGTAATAAAGATGACTCTTGAATTTGACTAATGGCTAAATTACAATGCATATTTATTATTATATAATTTAATGTATATATATATATATAATAATATCAAATTGATTTAGTCATTTATTTACTCTGTCTTTATATGTATTTGGAATATGTGATGCATCATATGTGTCAGGTAAAGATATAAGAAATCCTAATGTATCTCCTTCCCCATAACTGTTGCTATAATGTTTTCCTCTACTTTCATGAAATCTCGTACCTTTCCTATTAAATTAAAAAACAAATTATTATAAGAAAAAGGTAATTAAATGTAAAAATCTTAAAGGATACCTGGATCTCCAAGAATATCCAAATTTGTCATAACCCAACGGTGCTTGAAGATTAGCGTATTCTTGTGCCCAACCAAGCCTGGTAGCAGACCCTTCAGGCATTTCTTCAATCGTTGCTTCCCAATACCAAGTTCCTTTACATACACCTAAAAATATCATTTGTTTATGAATATGTATGTATATCTCTTGAATTTATAAACAATATATAAAATACATACTATGGGTAGCTCTGACCATGCAATATCCTTTTTCACCAGTGACTGCTAATCTGTCTTCAGAAACCCTTAATTGTGGTGCACGATCATGTAATGCAAGTAATACTGCACTTGGGCTTAAAGGTCTGTACAACCAACCAGGAATTGGTTTACCTGCCCAATCACTACTCTCATCAAACTCCTATAACATTGATAATATATTATCATTCGTACACATTGTATATATTTAAAATAATTGGATTTGATCTACTTGTCTAAAAGGTGCATGAGGATCTGGTTCAGCAAGTATATATCTATATCCATCTTTGTTAAAAGGATGTTCTAAAGGATAACCGTGTGCTGGTAATTTTGGTGCTGCCATATCCGAACTTCTACCCTTTTTTCCAGGCCCAGTACCTGCACCTTCTCCGGGTAGTTTACGTTTTGCATTGCGACCACGTAATCCTCCACTTAGTGGCACTTGATATTCCATGTTAATTAAATTATTTTATTTAATAGGCTTTTAAATTATTATGTCATTTGTTTAACATTTCTTTTATTATTATGTCAACTATTAAATTMAATTAATTTCATATAAATAAATAAATAATAATTAAAGAATATTTTGTTTATAAAAAAATTAATATTGTTTCTGTCTTCACAAGGAAATAATTTAATATAAAATATATTTTAAATGTTAAACTATTTGATCTACACATTACTCTTATTAGTAACTTGTTGTGTGTGATATTGTAGTAGTGATTTCCTTGATAAGATAAGATATATGTATGTTAACATTGAAGCATACTAGTGTATCTTTACTTATGAAAGATAGTATATGAAATGTTTTTTATTCATTATTATATTTTATTCAAATTTATATACATTTATTGCAAATATATTAGAACTATTATTGAAATTAATTGAAAATCAATTTATTTAGCAACGTTACACACATGTAATAGAATGTTTATAAATTTATGATAGCACAAAAAAAATTGATATTAGAAAAAATGTACTTACCAACATGTTGAACACCCATTTCAGTAACTTTTAAATGACCACCCTTAATCATTGCTTCATAATTAGGTTTAATTAACATAAGATCTGGGTTTGCAAGCCCAAATAATGGACCTTCCGTACTACTTTCATCCACGGTAAATAATGTACCAACATCTTTCATTAATGCTCTGTGTATCTACAATTATAAATATATCAAATGATAAATTTCATTTTTATAATATTTTTTAAATGGAATATACAAAAATAATATATAACAAAAATGATGAAATTGAGAAAAACTTCTTCTGTTCAGCTTTCTTTGTAAATTGTATTAATGTTAAGTAATATTTGTAAAATTAAGTATTGTAAAAAATTAAGTTTGAATTGTAATATTTTTAGTTTTGTAATGTTTCTTACAGTAACGTGCCAAGAATTTGTGACTCTGCGTGGCATCGTTGTCATACTTTCCCAATGACATTCAATGAAAGGTATTATATCTTTTTCTTTATGAAACAACGTTCTCTGTTCACTTTCTTTTTGACACATTTGTAATAAATTAGCAATAGCTGTTACACACATCTGAGGAAATGCTAAAAATAGATATTATTCGTTAATACAATTTAAAAAAATTAATTTGTAGATATACTTACGTGCTTGATTTTTTTTAAAACTTTCTAATCCAGTAGGTGAACAATTTTTACACATAAAAACATAATTCATCATAAATGGAACTAATTTGCCTAATTGATATCCAATACAAGATTCATGAAACCACCTTGAACAGCTTGCGCATAATAATTCTGCAATGTTTAGATTTCTTTCTTTTCCACTACAAAAGAAAAGGTAAATGTAAACACTGTATCATAATATTTGTTTATAATATTAATTGCATTTAAATTACCAATAACAGTTTCCAGATTCATTATTATTACTCCGATTATTAATTTTGTCATTTGGTTCTCCTGATTTTTGAGTTTTTGGTCTATTCTTGTCATCAGGTTTAACTTTCATTTTATCATCTACACTAACGGTTTGCACATTTTCCATTTTATCATTGCTAAAAAGAAAGAAATAATTTCATTAATTAAACAATAAATAAATATATAATTATATTTATAAAATAATAATAATAAATGTCATTATTGGCGGGAAAAGAAAAGATAATTGATATTTAAGATTTTAACCTATAAACAGATGAAAATAGAAATCAAAACTAAAATCATTTTAACTTAGTGAATGAAATGAAAAGAATATAATAGAAATTAATTATTAAATAATATTACCTTTCTACTTTTTCTTCTGCCATTGTTTGTGCGATTATACTTTATCTTATTTGTTTTATTTTTAATATACAAAGAAACAAACTCGATTCAGTATGAATAACTTTTATCGATTAAAAATAACCAAATTTTATTTTTCAAGTAACTTTCTAAAATATTATTATTTAAATATATATATATAAATATAAAATATTTATTATCAAAAATAAGTTATATTTATGATAACGTTAAATAATATTTTCATAATTGCAAAATATTTATTATCATGTGTTTACAATGCGTCTGCGCATTAATTTACATCCGACGCATGCGCAACTGCGAGCATTATTTACGTTCTACGCATGCGCTGATGCGCGTGCCTGCAAGCATTGTATCAGACGCATGTGCGACTTCGTGAGACTGCAGTGACAAGAGTGGACAAAACATCAATTACAAATGCAACAAGACTGTCTCCAATACACCTATAATATCATTGTAAGTAAAAAACAGTTTATTGTGTTAGTATGTGCATCGTAGGGATCCCTAGTCCATCGTAAAGAAATATCAGTGACTGTCGCGCTACCTGGTGATACATTTAACAAATATTCTCACGTTTTGTCAATATTTACCTCAAATGTTGTTTTGTATTCTAACCTTTAAAGAAGTGAATATTGAGTTATGTAAATTATTTTTATTTAATTAAATAATTAATAATTTATTACATTCTACAGAAATATTAATCTAAACAAACATTAGATGGAGTTTTAAATGTGTTTATTAATTAAAAAGCAATACTTTTTCTAATTTATAAACTTACATAGGTTATGTTATAAGCAAACAGTGTTTTTTACTTTCTTAAAAAATACTATATGTATGTGATATCAGTTAAATTTGTAACAGTTTTTAATTTACATGAACATTTTATTAAATAATTATATATATATAATTAACAAATAAGCATAGTTGCACAGTTGCACAGTTGTTATATATTATAATATTTATACATTTTATAATAAATTATAAAATATTTCATTAAATAGAATTAATTTTAATTCTTTTATTATACATATGTTCATGTTATTAATTTTTAATAGAAAGTTTAATTAGATATAATGCAATTTGCTATTATAGAATTGTATAATAAGAAAAGAGCTCAATGATGATAAGCATTAATTTTAGAATTTCATTAATTAAACAAATGGAAAGGGTTAAACCTTTGAAACTGTTATTGGCACATACAAAATCTTGCTTATATGCAAATTCTACACGATCATTCTCTAACAGCAATAATATTGATAATAATCAAATAAAACAAAATGAATTGGAAAGAATAATGTATGAGGAAAGAAACAAATTATTGAGCGATGTTAAAGAGTATGTAACTATAGAAAAATATGTGAATATTATTAATCCTAAACTAGCTGAAATTTGTCCGAAAAAATATATGAAAATAATAAGCATTAAAGAAGACATTTTATATTTGATGGATAAATGTACAGCTAAAAAATTTGTCCAATTGATTATCGATGATCTTTCCAAAAATATGATTTTTGTAGCTGAATGTAATCCTGGGATGGGTTTATTAACAGAAGAATTATTAAAAGCTGGTATTAAAGAGATATATGCTTATGAAACAAACGATTGTTTTTATCCTACGTTAAATGAATTAAAAACGAAATATCATAATAGGCTACATATAAGAAAAGCGAATTTATTTAAGATGAGCAAATTACATTACATGGATCAACATGATAACATGGATAGAATAAAAGATACATTAAATGGTATTTCCAATCTAGCTTGGGAAAATGATGTAACATACATGCAAGTTATTGGAGCATCTACTGATTTAAAATTCTTTAGACATTTAATATTGGCTATGGTGTTTCGTACAAGTTTTATGAAATTTGGAAGACCATCTTTTTATGTAGCAATATCACCATCTATTTGGCATGTAATTATATTTTAAATTATTAGATTATTGGATGTTTATTTATGTTATTTATTTCTATAATAATTTTTCTATTTTTTTAGGATCTAAATTTTCCAAACAGTAAAGCCATAATGCATTATCTTTACATTTGCTATCAAACATTATTCAATTGTAAATATTTAGGAGATATAGAAAGAATGGCGTATATACCTTGGAGAAAACGAGCATTAAAGAGGCAATCCAAAATGCATGATCATGAAATATTAAATGTTGTTAAAATAGAACCCAAACCTGATCTTTTTAATAATTATTTGAAATTAGAAGATATAATACCTTATTGGTATTTTCTTAAATATCATTTTACAGGAATAGAACAAAAGATAATACCTGAATTGGAGTAAGTATAATAATTCAAATATAAACAAAATTATAATTGAATCCCTTGAACTTTGATTAAACATTATTGTGAATCATAAAGTGTATATCATGAGTTTTATAAATTGTTATAGTACAAGGAAAAACAAATGATTTGATTTGTTTTTAAAATGATATATAAGTATCATATATAATTAATGAAATATTTCAGAAAATGGGTACCAGGATGTGGATTAAAATTAATACGAATGAATTATAATATATATACTCGTTTTATAGATTTATCACCTATTGAATGTTTCAATCTTTTTAAAGAATTTAAATCCTGGCCGGAATTTGAAAGTTCTATGTTTTTACCAAGTGCTCATAGTTATGTACAATTTTTCAATCGAATCAACACACCTACTAAAATCAATTGACAAATAAACAATTAATAAAATTATTTATTATTATTATTATTATTATTCTAGTTCTTATTTCATTTTGTAAAATTTTACAGTAAATAACTGAGTATAACACTGTATATAATATTTTTCATCTTTAAAGTTTACACCATTATAAATTTTGTTAAAAATTGTGTCGAATTTATTTATTTAATTAACTTACAAAAATTAACATATAATAAATAGATAAATTAGATTTGTATTTTGATAAAGCCACATAACTTATATATATATATATATATATACATACATAAAAATTATATATTAAATATTTTTATTTATAAATTAATATTAAAATATTTCCTTAACTATAAAAAAAAAAAATATGAAGTAAAAAATAAAAATTAACATAATTTCTTTGTGCATCAATATACAGATTTGATATGTATTAATTGTAACATATTTTAAACATAATTAACCTGTTCACTTAAACTCAGAATTTATTTTTGAATTATTTTAACAAATAATGTTGAGATGTTAAACTTTTGATAATCAATTGATTTTTACAACAAATTACAGATATATAGTGAACATGTTAATATTGGTAATAAAATAAATGAATTAATATTAAATATCTTAAATATATAATAAAAAGTGAGTAGTATGTTATAGTAAATAATGTTCATTTAAAATAGAGTATTTCATTCTTATCGATCATAGTTTTCTACATACATTAAAACATATATATTAACAATAATTCTCAGCTATACTAAAAGAAGGAAGCCATATTGACTAAAATATTTCTACAAAATATTCTATTAATAACATAACAAATTATTCATATCATCTCAGATTAACTTGATTCTTGTTGTTGACTACTACCAGTAGCTTCAATCAATTTTTGTCTTTCTCTATACATAGATACTTTCATATTTTCTATTTGATGATAACGTAATAGTTTTAACACAGCAAAAACAGATAAACCAACCCAAATTGACAAACTACTCCAAGTACCAAATTGTGCAGCACCCAATTCAATATGAAAACCAGAAGTATTGATACCATCTGCTTTATCAATATCATTACCAGCTGCTAATTCACATGAAGGAAATCTTTTGGTCATACATTGACACCAAGTCATAAAACCTAATGTTACAATGATTGCAGCGATCAATGTTATTATTGTTAGAAATATACAACTGACTACGTCAACAAATGCTGATAAAAATGAACTGTCTTCACCACGATACATGAAAAAGGAAAGTCTATAAATTTGAAATGCTGCAGTTAAGAATAATACCAATCCAACGAATATGGTATAATTGCATGATATTTGTGAAGCCCAATTAACTACAAATTGTCCATCTGTTTCTTGCCAAGTTCCAGTTGAAAATAACAAACAATGTCCTCTGAAAAGTTAACAAATTAATTCTTTCTTTCTTTCTTAACATTGTAAACAATATATTATATAATAATAATTAATTGTCAATATAATTACTGAAATTCATCTTGATGTAAACTCATTGGTACAATAATACAAAGAGATAAAATAAGTGCAACAACATAACCAGCTATTTGACTGAGAAGTAGAATGTTAGTAAGAGCCATAATTATAATGCGTAATAACAATTTGATTTATATATTTTGTTTGTTGGTGGTTTATTTCCACTGGATTATTATTACCAAGTGATTTAATTTTGAATTCTAATCAATTATTATGGAAATGAAATCATTGACTTTCCATTAATGAAAGTCAATGATTGTCACTGAATATTTTTTTTTTTACTTAAAACATCTATGGGCGTGTTTAGAAAATGCGTTGTTTGACTTTAAACACACGTGAATACTGCTACGTAAGGGCTACCAACCTCATAACCTACAAAATTTTTTAACTATACGTTTAAAGTAATAATATTTATAATATAATAGGACAAAGAGATAAAATTATATTAATTAAAATAATAATTGTGTGTAATAAGAATGAAAAATAATTGAAAAAAAAAAAAAAATGTTTTGTTTATAATGAATTATTTATCATTTTCATATTATCATTTAATTGGAATATTAAAAACTAGGCGCCACAAATTATTATTTATGGATTCTATAATAAACTGTAAATTAAATCTTTTCATTTACATATTACATTAGTTATATTTATTCATACGTCATTGAGGTTAAAAAAATGTATTATCAAACAAATTTATTGATTTTTTAATGAAAGAACGAAATAAAGAAAGAAACATAAAAAAGAATTATCAAAAAAGAGAATATAAAATTAGAAATATTATAATTTTCTCTTTCATTTTATTTTTCATATCTTTTTACATTCATTTATTATCAACAAATACATAAATAATACTAATCATTATAAAATAATTTACATATTTTTCGCATAAACATATATATACATATTATGATATACATTTGATTAAAAAAGAAAAAATTTTTAGGTTAGGTCAGAGATACAAAAAAAACAAAAAAATGATATAAATTTTAATAAGTTGGTAGCAATTAACTTACAAAATTCATACTACAAAATGCATAATATCCATAAGTATTATACACACGCGTGCATCTTTTACATAAATATATGCACAATTATTTGATTAATATAAAAGAATAAAAAAAATTTGTAGGTTAGGTCAAAGATAAAAAAAAGAAAAAAAAATGAAAGAATATTATATTTTTATAAGAGTTGGTAGTGATTAAATAGCAAACTATTACTAATGAATAAAATGTAAAAGAAAGAGTGAAAAAATGAGAGAGAGAGAGAGCGAGAGAGAATGAGTGTAACGGATAGAAAGGGAAGGGGTAGAGGAATAGAAGAAGAGGGGAAGGGGAATGGTTTGGAGAGGAAGGGATGTATAATACAGTCGACACAGGGGCATGCTGTAAAGTCAGCTGATTTCAATCGATAGAAGAAGTGTGTAATGTTTTGGGCTGCCATTGAGTGGATAATGTGTACGTGAATTCTTATGAACAAATATATATATACATATATATATATATATATATACACATATTATATATAACCCACATGCGTGACATGCTATATAAATGTGTATGTGCGTGTGTGTATTAAACTTGTGAAAGAAGAAGAAGAAAAACAGTGGGCCGAAGTTGTGTAGTTTTAAAGGAAAACAAAAAAGAAAGAAAAGAAAAGAGAAACACAAATACAAACTGTTGTCTATTCGATCTCTTTTGCGTGTATAATTTAACACGATCGATTATGTCGTCAATCAATTTAATTAATTACAACACGTGTCGAGGATGTGAATTATTTTTGGGGTTAATTTCTTTGTCATATAATAATATGCCAGCTGATGAATTATAATAATAATAATAATAAGAAGAATCATAATAATAATAATAATAAAGAAGAGGAAAAATTTTTTCGCACGCAACTCACACGCACGCACGTGCGCACGCGCGCGCACGTTTATTATACACTAACAAATTTATTATTTAATTTTTTTTCTCAATCTAACCTCCTTCCCTCTGCCATCCGCTCACAGTGTGTTTTTATTTAAAATAATATCAAAACATACACACACACACACACATGATTTTATTGAAGTAAAACTTTTTCTTCTTTCTCTCTCTTTCTTTCTTTTTCTTTCTTTCTTTCTATCTATTTCTCTATCTCACTCTTTCTTTCTTTCTTTCTTTCCCTCTCTCTCTCTCTGGTTATAGGAAATTTTATTAGATAATTAACAAATAAACAAATTTATGAACAATGTCTTGGTTTTGGTCGGAGAATATAAAGAAAAGCATATGCAGATATTTACTGCAAAGATATCTCGGACATTTTTTTGAAGAAAAGTTGACATTAGATCAACTTACTGTGGACCTTTACAATGGAACTGGTAGAGTTACCAATGTTACCCTTGATGTTCAGGTAAATCAAATTTTGTTTTTTTTGTCTTTCTTTGTTCTTTCATTTTCTTTATCAATTAATTTTTTTCATTTTATTTCACTATTTTTCATCCAGGTGTAATTTATTTTTATCAATTCAAAAAATATCACATTCTTCTTTTTATTTTTCATCTTCTTTGTTTCCATTTTCTTATCAGGTATATTTTTGTCTTTCATATTTTAATTTCATCATAAAACAACTTGTAAAAATAATTTTATTCTTTTCATTTGATTTTCATTTTCAATTTTCATTTTACAGATACAAAATTATATTACACATTTATCAATGAAATACATGTAGAATTAATTTGTACATTTATATCATTTGAATTTTTATTAAGGATAAAATTTATGATGTAAATATACGAGATAAAGTTTATTTACATTTACTGTATTGTTACACACTTAAAAGCATATTTACTCATTGATTTTATTTTCTAGGCACTTAACGAATTGGTCGAACAACAAAATCTTCCATTGGAATTTGTGGATGGATTCATTTCGGAAATGTCCATTAGCATACCATGGTCTTCATTGTTAAGTGAAGCGAGTTATGTAGAAGTAAATGGTCTCAGATTGACTGTACAACCAAGACAAAGAACTGAAAATGGAACTTCCATGTTTGAATCTATGTGGAGTTCGATGACGTCCAGTATGCAACTTGCACAAGAATGTTTGCAACAAGATGCCAATGCTGGAAATACGCAACCATTGGAAGGTGTAGAATTGTTTGCACAAACAATTGATTCTGGTAAAGATTTTTTAAATAACGATTCAAGTCAAATGAAATCAATTTCATATTGTTATTTATGAATGTATTTGTTCTTCAGTTTTGTGTAGAACAAAAGTCAGATTTGTAGATACAGTTATAAGATTGGAACATGTACCATTGGATTCAACGATGGGTGTAGCCTTAGAAATGTGTATACAGTATCTCGAATACACTGATGAAGCTGGGTCGGATCCTAATCATAGTTCCATTGATCAAAAACAGTCTGGAAAAGGCTACGTTGTGTCAGCCTTCTCAACCAAACGATTTTACTTGGAAGGTGTAACTCTTCATACCGATGAATTCCCATCTCGATCAAGAACCTTTTCCAGAAGCATCATGACCACCAGTAGATGTTCTACACCTGACTCA